TGCATTGCCTGCTGGCAATTGACTGCCTTTTCGGAGTGAGGGTACCTCGCGAGGATGACTTGAAGAGGGAGTTCCTTTGCCAGTCCGGAGCAGATGTGTTGCTCTCCTCTCCCACCACTGCCGAACGTAAGATACAGAGGGAAGATTGCTTCTCGGACATCTCGTTCATCAAAAGCGTGGCCAAGTGCTGGGCATTTTCCTTTTTCTCCGCATCGCGCACGGCGGCCTCCTTCAGCATTGCCTCTTCTTTGCTTTTTTCCTTTAGCTGGGACGCGGCAAAGAGGAAACAGCGCCGGTGGTGACGAACGTTGGGAGTGAGCGCCATGTCACGTCTTCTCTGTCGATGGTGCGGCAGTCCAATTGTCACGTCCGAATCGATGTTGGAGACGCACGACTGGATGCTTTTCGTGTCTGGGAATTGGAGAACGTACCCAACACCTATGGCTTCCTCCACCGTGATCTGCACACGAGGTTTGTTGCCCCGCAAAAAGATGTGGACAGGCGCGGGGCAACCAAATCGGGACACATTGCCCAAATCCACCCGTTCCTGCTGCATTTCTGCCAGCTCCTGTTGTTTTGTCTCCACCCGCCGCAATTTGTCCCGGTTTTCCAGGAGTTTTTTTAATTTCTCCAACTGCGGCATGGAGGTGACCCGCACGGACGCATTCTGATCGGCGGCAAGGGCCCGCTGCCTCGCCAAGAGGGGCTCCGCCTCGCCACCAAACATAGAGGGTGGTTTTCGAAGATAGGGCTGTGTAAAGGGCTGGTGTGCAATGGCAGGGTTCACGTAAAAAGGAAGAGTGCTCCCGGTGTTAACGGCACGTCCACTCTTCGGCTGTGCAGAAGCGTTTTTCTTCACACGGCGTAGAGCCTTCACGCCATTCCCCGTGGCAACCGCCTTATAATTCATGAAATCGAAACTGGCAGCCTCCGTTGATTCTGTCGGCGGACCCGTTAACGGTCGCTCATCCGCCTCCCCAGGGAGTGTGTTGTAAGAAATATCCGACCACTTCACGAAGTCACGGAACTGAAAGCACATGGCCTTCAGCTGTATCTCCGCAAGCCACCTTGCGAATTCCATGTATGTCCGGCCACGTGGTGGTGGGCCCACCACCGGCATCCTCGACCGACCCACGGCATCCAACTCGCAAGGAGGAACAGGGGTTGCAAAGATGTTTTGCATCAACTGCGGAGCATGCGTGCCAACTTCACCGGAGTGCCGACGGAGAATTTCAATGCGGCGGAGCGCGTCGCGAAGGTGAAGACGCGTCAATTTCCATCCCTCCACCATGGACTTGGACACAAGACCCAACGGCCAGCGATGCTCAATGATGGTGGGTTCACCAATAACACTTCCAGGGCCGTATTCCGCCACACCATCGACGATCGATGTCACCCTGCCATGAAGAATAATCAACATCTCCATGCAGCGTGCGGAAATTGATGTAAGCAAGGTGCCCGGTGGGTAAACAACGGGTTCCATACGCTCCTGCACAAGACGAATAAAACTGTCCGGTGCCTCACGAAAAAGTTCACAACTGTCACGCAACACTCGCGCCAGCGAAGATGTGTACCTCTGCTCTCCCAGCCATCGCATCCGCAGTGCAGCAGCTTTGGAAAGCAAATTTCGACGCAGAGCGTCATCACGTCTCACCGTTGCCGCAAAACTTTGACAAGAAAGGCACCAAACGTCGCAAGCACTTTGTGCCCGCAAGACAAATTGTCTGGGTTCCCCAAACAATACAGACAACTCACCAAAGGAGGCGCCCACTGGCACCTCTTGTAATATCTTTCTTTTTGGATTATAATCCCCACAGCAGTGGTTCCCCACACCACGAAATCCTGTCGATGGGGGTTCCTCAATCGTCAAAGTGCCCCGCCGCAAAAAGCAAAGCTGGCGAGAGATTGAATGGGGACAAAGAATAACTTCTCCTGGAAAGTAAAACCGAGGTGTCAGGTGCGTGACAAGGAAACGTATTGTGTGTGCCGGTGTATCTTGCAGCAACCAACTCTGACGCATGAGGATTTCATTCAGTGGATAATGACGAGAGATCGACTTTACCCGTGCGGCTGCAATATAATCCAAAAGCGCCGGCACGTTACGAAGTGTGCCCAGTTGAGAAACAGGCGTCTTGGACTTATCACGCTGACGCAGGGCAATTTCAATAAGGGCATTGTGGAGATCATTGGCTCGAACGCGCATCGTCACGGTTACTCTTGAATCACAGTTTGCCTCTCTCTTTCCATCCGGCGATGCCGCCTCTGCTGTAACCGTGGCAAGTCGAAAAGGCTCTAATCCCAATGCTTCAGCGGCGCAGCATACATAGGGTGCTCGGAATAATTCTGTGCGGGTAGCCAAAAGTGTTGGTTGTCCAATGATACGCGAAGCACGTCGGAGCGTGCGTTGAATAGATGTAGACACGGTGGAGTTCGAAACCACATCACTGGCCGCATCGCCGGGAATTTCTACAGGAGCAGAGACAAGCCGAAATAGCTCCGGCTGAAGACCCAACAATCCATTTAGTCGTAGCAAATCATTGCTGAAAAAATATTGTCTTTTGCTGCTGTCGGCAATGGGGCCTTTGCGGTTTTGTGTCTGGTAGTTCACCACCTGAACACTCCCACTCAGCACCACGTGTACAAACAGCCCCTCTGGAACTTCACCAGGGTACGCAAGCACCGCCCCCGGCTCGTAGCAAACTGGCGTCAGTTTTCCCTTCAAAGCCGTCGCAAGCTCCTTTTCGTCAAGCGGCATTGGGGTTTCAAGGAGTTCAAGCGACGCGTCCACAAGCGCCTTTGTAAGAACACGCACGCCCTCCTGAAACATCTTGTCTGACCTCGTTGGGGCAGAGGAGAGATGCCGTTGCGTGAGTCGCCTCCGCTTCAGGAGTGAAAGCCTGACAGCCATGACAGGCGCAAAGAAGGCACGGAGGGTGTTGCCCGGGACGGCGCAAAGTGCGGTATTGATGAAAGACAGTCTGTCCGCCTCAATGCCGGTCACCACCAGCTCATCCTCACCGACGGTGGAGCATACACTTTTTCGCTTTCTGAACGATGAACCCATTGACGCGGTGGCCAATGGAAGCTCCGTCCGTGACTGCATGAGCTACTCGTTTCTTTCTCTTCCTTGAGCCAATGTGCACTTTCTTCTAACGTTGGCTGCGGCTGTTGGGTTACTTAGTGTGAGTGTAAGCTGCTACGTTTCGTGTGCTTGCGAAACGGTGCCCAGCAAACCAGAGGGAAAGTGGGATGCCAACACACAGACACAGAGAAAGAAAGTAAAAATAAAAATCCCAATTTGAAGGAAAGAAATCAAAAATATATATATCTATATGTTGGAAGGAATCAGCAAGAACAGCAACAAAAGAAAACACCGTGTGTACCTTCCATTTGGTGCACCATGTGCCCCTCCCCGCATTCTCCCTTCAAAGATGAGGTGCGTAAAAATATTTACATTGAACTCCAATCAACAACCGTGATTTGCATCGTTTTTAGTTTTTTTTTTTTTTTCTTCCTCCGTGCGCATGTGTGGACGCCCTCTTCTTCGTTTTTTCTTCCTTTTTATTTTCTCCTCTTTTCCTTCTCTTCTTTCCCGCCACGCGTTTGCGCGTGACGCCGGCTCCACCACCGCAACCTACGAGCCCCCTCTCGTTGAGAGGCGGTTGGCCATCGCCTCCACGTCATCTCGTGATATCTTCACTGTTGGCGGGTCGTACGGGTACACATGCTTCTTGAACAGCTCCTCATCCCTCTTGGCGTAGTCCACATGCGAGAGTCGCTCCACACTCTCCTTGAGCTTGGCCTTGCTGACCTTCTTCGGCTCCATCTCCGGCAGGTATCGTTTGTACAGTTCTTCACGCCGGGCCTTGCTCTTGGCGAGCTCCTGCCCGTAGATGCGGTCCACCTGCTCCTGTATCTCCGACTCCGGCAACTTCTTGTCGCAGCGGTGCGTCTCTTCGTAAATCCGTCGCTCCCGCTCCTCCTTGCTCTGCCGAAACCGCTCCAGCTGCTGATCGTAAATGCGGCGCACGAGGTCCCCCTCCTCTTCCCGTTTGATGTAACGTGGTGGAGCGCACGACTTGGAGAGCTCGCGGCGTCGCTCCTCCTCCCGCCTTGCAGCACGATCCATCTGTTGATGGTACAACCGCCGCACAAGGTCATTTATCTCCGTCTGCCCCAGTCGTGGGGAATTCGGATACGGTCCAGCTTCAGAGGCCATCACGCGTATTCGCGTTGCCGCGACAAGAGCTAATCGCTTCAGCGCAAAACAAGAGCAAAAAAGAAAAATAAATAAAAACATGGATGCCGTAAAAAAAAGAGAAACTCTAATACATGTGTTCAGACACCAACAAACGCCACGGGGAAGAGAGACGGTAAAGCCAATGCCCTTCGTGAGAAATGAACAGTGAATGCTGTGTATTTGGAGCCGGCGCAGGAAAACAAAGAAAAAAGACATTCTGGTGAAGCGCGCCAGCAGATGCCGTCTTTTCGCCCTACCGCACACGCCTCTTCAGCTTCAGTTCCTCGGTAAACACGGCATGGCTTTCTGTGTACGCAGCGGTAGGGTCGTGATAAAAACTCTCCGCTGGCTGCGCCACGTTGATCGTCTGTATGGGCCCCTTTTGCTCAAAGACGCCAAGAGCACCCTGAAACTCGCAGTTTTTATCGTTTGACGCACCCCGTTCGTAAAACAATGAAGATGCCTCCCTCACGTACGGCGCGGCCGCGTCCCACGGTAACACGTCCAGGTCCGTATGCCCCATTAATAGGCAGTGAAGCTTTGCCGCACGAAGAGACGAAAAGGTCCGGTGAATGTCATCACTCTGCAGAAGAATAACTAACTCATATCTCACCTCGTCGGTTCTTCCGGGCAGAGAAAAGGGAACACAGGCACTTCGCGCCCACGCCACCTCAGGGGATAAGTAACGAAAAAAGCGGTGGAATTCCCCGCGGAGCTCCCTCTCCACACGTCGGTAAGCCAAATGAAGCAGCTGGTCCTTGTGAAGCACACGATCCGTCGCCTCGCGGGCGAGAACGAACTCAATGGGAGAAACGGGGTTCAGCACAATATCCACATTCTCGGGCACAATAGAAGCATTGTGCAGCAGCGTGTCAACGTCGGCGAAGTACCCAACAAAGAAAGGACGTAAAAGCGGACCAAAGACCGGAAGCGGTGTCGCCTGCTTAATGCAAAACGGAGCTGTGGAGCGCACTTTAGCCCAAAATGCCTCTTTGAGAGCGTCCTGATTCGGTGCCGCACTTCCTTCATGCGGGGTTTTTCCTCCGGCCTCCTGGATTCGCCTGCAGCCTGCATTGCCGCCACTCTTTAAGGTCTTCTTGTGACGACGCCCCACGCGAGAAGTGCGTCCCTTCCGTTTGAGAAGTCGACCCTCCTTTTGTTCGCTGCTTGTGTCCTCCACGGGTGTGGCGTCCATGGAAGCAAAAAGACCATCGGCATTCAGCCATGAGGTATCCTCCTTCTCCCCAGTCGTCTCCACTGCATGTATTTCCTGCTCATTGACAGGTGACTTTATCGGCTCGAGCGCAGTAGCAAAAAGATGTCGCTGCACCTGCCGCTCCCACCACCCGCTGTTGGACACATCCGGCAACGGCAGCGTGTCACCCTTCGCACCAGCTTTCTCCTCCTCCGCAGCTTCGGCCACGCCATCCGCCCAAAGCACCCCACTGGGATCACGCACTGTAAATTGAAACCGTCGACAAAAGAGACGCAAGTACGGCAATGAAGTGAACACAGGAAGTGCAACGTAATTGTCTAGAGCGAACACCTGAGGCTTCGTGTCGTACGGGTCCCAGGCGCCTACAGGGGACGCCAAGGAAAGAAATGACCCTGTCAAAAAATGACGCGTAAACTCCAACTCTGTTCTCGCATCCCGGTTCTCACTCAATGCCAAAGCAATCGCACTTTCCAAGGCGTCGTTTTTAGGAAGCGATTCCACATGTACACTTGAGCACGCCGATGACGAAGATGACGCGGTGGAAAAGCCCGAGCAATCCTGCTGAGCACTGCGGTGCCGACAACGCCGTTGGCGAAGCTCCCTCCGTGCCGCTTTTCTGATCCCTCGAAGAAGCCGCAACTGCACTCGCAGTTCATCTGGCGAGACACCGCGAAAAAAGTGGCGCGTAAGAGCAAACATCCCACTTTGTGTATGCGCGTATATATATATATATATATGAGAGAAGACACTGTGATATGTCTCCCCGCGTCCCGGCCACTTATAGACAAACAGGCAAAATCAGAAAGAAACAGGTGATGTAAACTGAGCAAGCAGGTGGCCATACATGCATAGATAAAGATATATATATACATATATAGACAAGTGTATGGGAGTGACGTTCAAAACGGGCATGCATGCATACCTTCACACGACCGCACAGAGAAAAAAAAAAAAGGTAAAAAAGAAATTGCTGCTTTGTCAATTGAAATATACCAAATTTGTTGGGGGTTTTTATTCCCCTTTTGTTTGTTTGTTTGCTTGTTGATTAAATCGGGCCGATAACAAAAAAAAAAAAAAAAAGGCATCGTGGCCTGAAAGAAGCTCTCGATCACCCCATCAGCGCGGGATGCGGCGAAGAGAAACCAGCCACAGCGTGTGTGCCAAACACAGGAAAAAAAAATAACACCGGCCCACCGCATCATCATCCCCCCCACAACACACGCATGGCACTACACGGTGCGTATTCATGTCGTCATCGTCCCCATCCCCGCCGTGACGCCAAAATGCACCGCGCCCATACAACCAAAAAAGAGGGAAACACCAAGTAAAAGAAAAAAGAAAAAAATCTAGAAATAAAATAAAATAAAATAAATCCGGCACATCAAGTAGAAAACAAAGGTGTTGGTGGTGGCAACAATAGGGGCAACAGAACAACAAATAATAATAATAATAATAAACACGCGGACACAAAAAAATATATATCAGTGCATGCGCGTGTCTATTCATTCTGCCTTCCCAACTGTTAGTATGACTTTGCCGTTGGATTTATTGTTCTCCATCAATTTGTGCGCTGCAGCGACTTCTTCAAGGGCATATGTGCACTGCACCACAGGCACAATCTCCCGTCTGGTCATGTACGGGATCACCTCCTCCTCAAAACTCCGTACGAGTGCCTCCTTGTACTCATCTGTCTGGTCCCGGAGTTTCGAGAAGATGACGCTGGCCCGCTTGCGGAAAAATGGCATGACGTCAAGAGAGACTTTTGCCCCGCCCATAAAAGCCAGTAGGACAACTTTTCCGTCCTGCGCCAACACCTCGCCGTCCTCCTGGAGGTACGTGCCGCCCACCACAGGATCAACGATTAAGTTGACAGTCTCACCCTTCACAGCGTCCCGCACTTTGGAGGAAAAACATTTTCCCGATGCATCTGGTGATCTGTCAACGACAAACTTCGCAAACCTCTTGCAAAACTCAACTTTTCCAGACGAACAGGTGGCAATGGCGGTGGCCCGGAAATATTTCTCCGCGAGCTGCAACGCCGCGGTTCCAACACCGCTGGCCCCGGCGTGAAACAACATGTGCTGACCCTTCTGTAGGTTTCCGTGAAGCTTTAATGCCTGCCATGCGGTTAGAAATGCCTCTGGAATCGCTGCAGCCTCAACAAACGAGTATCCTTCTGGAATCTTCATGACAGAGCCCTCATGAGCAACCGCCATTTCCGCGTAACCTCCCCCGGTGAGTAGCGCCATCACACGGTCACCCTCCTTAAACCGCTTGACATTCTCACCAACCTTTTCCACCACACCAGAAACCTCCATGCCCAATATCTCACTGCTGCCTTTTGGAGGTGGGTAGTGACCTTGTCGCTGAGACACGTCGGCCCGGTTAACGCCAGCTGCCATCACCCTGATAATTACATCGCTCGGCCGCGACAAACTGACCCCAGTAACCTCTGAAATATGCATAACGTCAACATCACCAAAGGCCCTCATTGTCACAGCACGCATGGACTTCATTTTCTCTGATTCCTTTTCTTCTTCAGCTCTTCCTTTCGTTGTTCTTAAGTAATTTATTTTAAAGTGGTAAGGACTTCGGTATTGGCTTAGACTCTCCCGTCACCGCGCATATATATATATATATATGGGTGTTAGTGTGTGTGCAAAAAGGGGAAAAGCGGAATTTCACCCAAGGGGTGAAAGCACTTAATTCAACATGGAAAGGGAGACTAATGAATGGCGACAAAAAAACGAGTAGTGAGCAAGATACGTATCCATGTCCATGTATAAACACGCATGCGCGTGGCATTCACCTCCAAATTTTTCCGTCACACCACGGTACAACGACTAGTCAGCCTTCGACGCTTTTTGGACGCTCCAGTCCCCTTACTTGCCGGCGTGACCTCGGATGGAAGAGGAACACTACTGGCGGTGCTCTCTGCCTCTTCCGCCTTGCACTCCTCCACAAAGTCCCACTCGTAGTGGGACTCATAGCAAGCAGCCTTGCACTCAATCACACTGCGCCCGAGTCGTGGGTCGTTGTATGTGCGGCGCGAGTTGCCGCATTGCCTACAGCGTGCAATGTATACGGGAGGCGCCGTCATGCGTCAGTAAAAATCCCCCACGCACGTGCTCCTTTTCTTGTCACCAGCGCCTGCCCCCGCACCCGGGAAGAGGAGTGGTGTGAGGTGAGGGGTCACAAAGAAAAAACCCTTCGCTTTTTCTAAATAATTTTTTTTTTTTTAAGGGAGCAAAACAGTTTTTTTTGTTGTTGTTGTTTTTTTTTTTTTTTTTGAGGTACAAAAGGCGGGACAAATCCAAAGTCAGCGAAAAAGCGACGCCTCCCAAACCGACGTTGAAGCACACACACACACACACACACACACACACACACATAGACACAGAGAGAGACATAAGATGATACTACATAAAACTTTCCAGAAAAATATATAAAAGGAGCAAAGTAACTTTCAAAACAGTAAACTACATACTTTCACCTTGGCGTTGAAAAGGCCTAGTCATGGCATACATGAATACCGCAACAGAATTTTCAAGAATATTCCGGTACCGCCTATCAGTGCCTTCATTCTTGCTCCCCGTGGGTGCCGGTTTGTTGGTCCCCTTCACCTGTAATTTTGCCTGATTCGATGAATACTTGCTTTCTTGTGATCCCAAGTCGGCGCTTTTTTTTTCTTGTGGAAAAGGGGTTAATTAGATGTGATCCGGAAGAGATAATAAAATACATGTCGTCTTCTCCATGGATCCAAAATTTTATACAGTATGAAAGGTGGATAAGGTGGCCGGCGTCGCGGCACCTGCTGAGTCGCGCAACTGGTGTGCTGACCCCCCAACAAACATGGGACGTCCAGGAGGAGGGCTCTTCATTGAAGACCTGGGAGGGCTGCAGTACGCGCTTTCTGTTGCGTTAATCCCACGAGCGTCTTGCTGTGACATCGGACGATGAGGCATGATGCCGCGCGACAAGGCGGACGTTGGCAGCACCGCTGGATTCTGAAGGATATTCCGCAAAGCATCCTCAAGCCTTGCCAACTCCTGGCGGTCAGCCTTCTTAATCTCCAGCACAGCCGAGTTCTCTTCCAGCTGCGCAAGACGACGCATGACTCCGTCATCCTGAACCGTTGCCTGCGATTGCGGCAATGATTGGTAGGAAATCGCATTAGGATTGCGCTGTACCTCCGAATTAGAATGATTAACAAAGGAACGCACACCGCTGTTTGTTCCGTTTCCACTCCCCTGCACAGCTTTTGCATTCGATGCTTCAACCCTCCCATTAAAAGGAACTGTGGTGAGGTATGGCAAAGCCATACCCTCTCCCGTTTCACCAGTAGGCACATCTTTTCCCATGGGCGCAGGCAAACGTCGTGTAGAAACAGCAGGCGCCGAAGGCTGTGACTGCGGCTGAGCTTTGGAAGTTTGCTGCCCGGATATGACGGGAAGACGATCTTCCCCCCCACTTTGCTGCTCTTGCTGTAATAGCCTATCCAACGGAAGGCCATCTATCCTGTTTTCTAGGCTTCGCAGACGCCCATCAACGTCCGTTAGAAGGGCCTTTTCCAGGCTCGCCCCTTCAGATGCCTGGAAGGAGAGGTTCCTCAAACGGTCCTCCACATTTTGCAGCCGATTGTCAAGTTGAATGATGTCTTCCTTTTCACCTCGCCAGGCCGCCGATTGGTGCTGTTGCTGCAACTGAGTCCGCCCGAACGCTGGAGTTTGCCTCTCCTCAAGTTCCTTTAGGCGTTTTAACGCGTTCCCCAGAGATTCTTGCAGGCCGTCGATGACGGTGCGGTCAACGGTGCTTGCGTTGGGTACGCCCGAGGCAGCAACCTCAGCGGTACTAATACGCCGAATTGCCCCCGCAGCGCTCTTTGCAGACAATACGTCAGCAGCCTGCTGTCGAAGCATTTGACGAAGTACGTCCATTTCTTCAAAAACATTGGCGAAGACCGGGAGGGAACGCAAATAATCTACACGATCCTCGGTTGAGTGCTGGAAACCGCCCTCGGCGTCACGTCTTGTTAGTGCCTCTGTCTTCTCCGCTTTGCCTTCCCATACTTCTACAAAACCGTTACATTGGCTCAACGTCAGCCGCATGTCACGAATGACTTCCTGCAATTCATTCACGAATGTGTTGATCTGGTTCACTTCGTTCGCACGCGCAGTCGATTCCGACTTCAGCCGTTGGTCGACATCGTCAAAACGGAGATGAACCTCCTCCATTGCGGAGGCCATTTGCTTGGAACTCTCCGCGCAGTCATCGGACACGCAAGAAATTTCGTGACGCAATTCGTCCAACGATTTCTGGACCCAACTCTCGCGGGATTTTTCCTCCATAAAAGACTCCACGAGAGCCTTCAGCTCCGCATTCTCCCTTGCCAGCGCATCAATTCGGCTGTTTAATTTGTCAATGTCAACATCGTGGCCGTTCCCTTGATCAACAATTAGACGAACAAGTTTTGCAAGGCGGCTGTAACTCAGTGTCAACTGCGCCTCGATCATGTCAGGAATGGCGGTGAGGTCCACGTCCACCGCCGGCATTGCTGCTCCTCCTCCTTTAGCACAGTGGTTCTCGTGGTTGTTGATTTGGTGTTGTGTTCCCCTCCAGCTGCCGTGGGTGGAGAACAGGAAAAAAAGAAAGAAAGAACAAAGCGACAACGGAAAAAAAAAGAAAAATAATATTAGTAATAACGGTAAAGATAACGCAAATGACCGGGAACCATCAGTGCACAAAACCCAAAAAGTGGAAGAAGAAAACGGTCAAAAGGTAAACACAGAAAAAAAAAAAAGAAAAGAAAAAAAAGTGAGGCATGGGAGTAAATCATGAAAATGAAACGGGAAAATTTGCATCTTCTCCCAAAACTCGCTGTCTTATCATACAATAAACATTTTTTCGTCACATGTCTCCTACTTTACATACATACATACATATATACATATATATGTATGTACCCTCATTGTGTGCCTCATTCAACTTTCACTGTTCCCTCGTTTCCCTCATAAAGATTTGTTTTCGTGTTGGAGCACTCATTCCTGCCCTATTTAAACATACATCCAAGAGCCAAAAGGCCCCTCTGCAGACTATTGTGCTGATCGCGCAGTCTGTGCAGATATTCCCTGCTTCTGTGCGGCACACCAGGCACAGTTGTACACAACACATGGTGTTATGTGACCCAGCGCATTTTGCTCCACCAAAAATCTTTCTCCCATCTTTCCACGGGGACTCACTGACACTTTATGCAGAACTGTGCTATGTGATCGAAGCTGATCGAGCTCCCCCGTGCGGTCCATAGGAGATGCCCGCCCAACAGCACCCACGGGAAGCCTGGAGTTGGAGGGATGTGACCTGAGGTCGGCGTTAGCAAGAGTCATGGGGACAGAATTCAAATTTGCGTTGGCAGCAGTTGAGACAGCGGCACCACCCGCGGCATCTGTAACAGGTAGATTTCCGTCACCATGCGGGGCGAGATGTGGACCAGAAGAGTACACACCTTGCCACGACTCGGTCCCACCACCATTTGTTGCCCTCATTTGGCGCAGTTGCTCTTCTTCGTTGCGCACCATACCTTGAGAAGGTGTCTCTGCTCCTGGCATCTCACGCTTCACAAGTGGTGTCCCAAAGCCTTCTAATTGTGGAGAGCGCAACACAATCGCATCCTCCCGCATCGGTTCCACGATTCTAATGGGACTTCCAACTCCCGCAGCTTCACGAGATTTCATCACCAGCACTGCTGTCTGAGATGCGGGAAAGCGAGAAAAGGAAACAGAGGGTTCTAACAATTCAAGACTGTCAGTGTCCCTTGAGTTAAATACAACTTGATTCGAAATCTGCGGTTCCTTTCCGCCAAACGCATCCGTTGCCCCCGGGGAATTTCCAACTGGAAACCCTGACTGCGTTGAACGGAGCGTAGCAAGGGCCCGGTTCACTTCCTTCATTCGCTGTTCCACCTCCTGCTCCAAATCTTGCATACGTTTCTGATATTCCACATCAGTGGACCCCACTGCACCATCCGGGCCTTTTCCTGTGAGAGGAAAGGTCGCTGGACGCTGTACTTTAGGTGGTACGGGAAACACGACACCGCTGTCACCTCGCGCATCAGGAGGCGCCACCTCTTCAGAAGTTATTGGGGTCTCCTGCCTCTGAAGAAGGCGCCTAAATCCACTTATTTCCCGTTCCAGTTGTTGTATTCGCATAAGAGACATAGAGGCGTCCTCACGGGCCTTTCTGTCAATAGAAGATGCGGCAGCAGAAGCCTGAAGCGATCCTTTACTTACTGACGCTCGACCAATGATCCGCAGACGCTCCTCCAAAGATTGCCAACGCTTGCCCCAGTCCTCCTCAAGCTCTTGAACTGCTTCAATTGATCGGGCAGCGTCGTCACGAGCTATCTGGTCCACCATCGCTCCCTGAGGCTGAGGCTCCAGAGAAACGGCTTGTCGGCTTTCGCCAGAGGGCCGCACAGAACCAGGACCCAACTCCTTACCAATGGCCACCGACAACTCTTTGAGTTTCCTGTTCACAAACTTCTCGAGGTTCGCCACCTGATCCAACGCGGCAAAGGCATCTTCTCGGGCCACTTGATCCACCACTGCAGCATCTGTGGGGGCATTCCGCTCTTTCCTTTGTTTCGACTCGCTTGCGTTGGTGTTATCTTTGTTGGCAACAGCAGCCTCGTTGCTCCTCTTCGCGTTACTGCCACCACTTTCAGTTGGCGTCACAGAAAGTCCATGTGATAATCTCTCGGATCTTCCGACGGGATGACCAGCACCTCTCACGGGACTTGTAGCAGCGGCCGGAGTGGCGTCGCGGGACTTTGACAGGGCCTTGTCCAGCTCCTTGAATCGTCGAACGACAAATCGCTCAAGCTCCTCCAGGTCCTCCCGTGCCTGTTCATCCACAACCTCAATTGGAGACACAGAAGAGTGGCCAGAGTTAGCACTTGCCTTTCTCGACGAGGAGTGCACCGCGGCAACGCCTCTCCTCAGCCTCTGCTCCAAGGCAGCAACACGACTCTCCAGCTGCCTCAGACTCTCACCTTCGTCATCAAAGCCAGAAGGAGCATCCTCATGGCTCCTGCGATCACGAACAGCACGAGATTTTTCGCGGGCATCACGCTCAACAGGACTGCGGGGTTCATCCTCACGATTCCTGCGATCACGGGCAGCACGAGAGTTGTCGCGGGCATCACGCTCAACAGGACTGCGGGGTTCATCCTCACGATTCCTGCGATCACGGGCAGCACGAGAGTTGTCGCGGGCATCACGCTCAACAGGACTGCGGGGTTCATCCTCACGATTCCTGCGATCACGGGCAGCACGAGAGTTGTCGCGGGCATCACGCTCAACAGGACTGCGGGGTTCATCCTCACGACTCCTGCGATCACGGGCAGCACGAGAGTTGTCGCGGGCATCACGCTCAACAGGACTGCGGGGTTCATCCTCACGATTCCTGCGATCACGGGCAGCACGAGAGTTGTCGCGGGCATCACGCTCAACAGGACTGCGGGGTTCATCCTCACGATTCCTGCGATCACGGGCAGCACGAGAGTTGTCGCGGGCATCACGCTCAACAGGACTGCGGGGTTCATCCTCACGATTCCTGCGATCACGGGCAGCACGAGAGTTGTCGCGGGCATCACGCTCAGCAGGACCGCGGGGTTCATCCTCACGATTCCTGCGATCACGGGCAGCACGAGAGTTGTCGCGGGCATCACGCTCAGCAGGACTGCGGGGTTCATCCTCACGATTCCTGCGATCACGGACAGCACGAGAGTTGTCGCGGGCATCACGCTCAACAGGACTAAGGAGATCATCATCACGAGAAATGCGTTTTCTGCTCCCACTCTCCCTGGATCTTTGCTGTGCCGAGATGGATAAACGACGCTCCACGAGAGAAACGGCAGAATGCTGAGCATCACTTCGCAGTTGGCGAAACGGCTGCAAATTCAAAAGATAGGCAGTATATTCTTCGGGTGTAACCACGGGGTCCCCATAGGTACTTATTAGAGCCTCAACCTCTTCATGGTGCACACCCCATAGTGCCCTAAAGCCTTCCAACCGCTTTACGCGGCGGCGAAGGTCCTCCACCTCCTTAAGCACCGAACCGGTGTCCGTACCCCCTTCGGGGGCAACAAACATCGGGGCTGCATTCACAGCCCTGCGCACTTTAGATGTTTGCTGTCGTATCGTGTTCATCTGGTCCTGGAGATCGTTGATGATGACCTGTTGCTCTGACTGCTGATCCACAAGAAGTTGAATTAGAGACTTTAGGCCCCTCGTATGAAGGGTGAAGTGGCCCTCAAATAGTTTACCGTCATCCACAAAATTAATTTGACGAGAGATGCGAGACGAAGCCAATACGTCCGCGGCGCCATCGCCAGGTGTATAGATGGAACTTACTCCATCCTTCAAGGGATTCGGATCAAACTTCACGGCAGTACTTCCTGCTGCCTTCATCGTCAGGGTTCGATGCTTTCCACGTTTTGAATATTAGCCACTTTCCTTTCCCCGTCTGTGCTTTGCGCAAAGAAATAGAAAAAACTTTTAAGAAGGAAAAAACACAGAAAAAAGGGAAAGGGGTGAAAAATGTGGTGTCGTCCATAGTTGTAAGTGAGGCTGGGAAAAGGTAGGTCGGCCCGTTGCTTTTTGAGGGGCACCCCAACTCAAAGGCCGAAAAAAAAAACACGGAAGAAAAGTAAAGGAGGGGAAAAATACCTGTTCCATTACAGCACATAATAACGATAGTAGCGCACGCGTGAAAAGGGGGCTGAGGTAGTTCTACGGTCCTGCGTCAGGAGTCAAAAAGCCCATACCCACTTCCTTTGAGAAGTAATGGCACCTCAGGGGTCTTCAGTCCTGCTCGTTTGCAGTGAGAACTCAAGCTGCGCCAGGAACCTATGACAGCACTCCTGGGGCGACACGGTGAGCCAAAATCCAAGAAGATGTTCTTCGTCGATGGCGTGCAAAGCAAATGACGCTGTTGATATTTGCGCGCAGTGGCGCTCTTCCACGCGGCATCAACCGAGAATGACTTTTCATTCAAATGTGTCAGAAAGCGGTCAGATAACGTCTGAGGCGGTAAAGAATTTGCGCGCCACTTTGATGACGGTGTTCCTTGCAGCTCCACCTTCCATGGCGGGGGTGAAGAGAGTGGTTGTGGTTTTAACAGGCCAAAGTGTCTGGTGCCAGAAGATCCACTGGGGTTTCGTTCGCATTTCCCATCATGGTTTTGAACTTCCCCCTTCACATTTATTTGTGTGTGTTCCCCGGGACTTACCTCACGGTGCCTCGCCGACGCATCGTCGTCCGCAGGTGCAGAAGGTGGGGCAACAAAGATATACAACGGTGGGGAGGCATCGCCAAAACTGTCCCCTTCCTCACATACAAGTTGCTCAACTCCTTCCTCCATCCTCTCGGCAAGGTCATCGAGCCGACATCGACGCGACGCACCCAAACCCTCTTTACAAGAGTCTGCACGCGGTGACATAATCGTCATCTTCGTTTTGTTTTCGGGCATTTCGGGGTAACTTTCATCCAATTCGTTAAGGGTATCCTCCTGCTGCTGCGCTGCTCCTTGAACATCAACAGAAGGCGGGCGCGTCGACAATGCCAAAGGAATCGCTGGCGAAGCCTTCAATACGGGGTCGTCCCCGTTGTCGCTGTCTCCCCACTCCTCCAAACTGCGCTCAGCAATAAAATCAGTCATCCCCGTTAACGGCTCAAACTGACTCCGCCGCCGCCCATTGGGGCTATGATGCTGGCGACCTTGCTCCAGCAGTTGCATCGCCGCCAAATCACACTGTTGTTCTAAACTGTGCCAAGGCAAAAGGTTTGCCTCGTTTTTTGCGCACCGCCAGCCATTGCTGCCACGGCGGCAGTAAGAACACTGGGTGTCTGCCAGACGCATTGACTCACCACTGCTTTCGCCTGGAAACCCCTGCAGAAAGGCAGTTTCACTGTCATGTGGCATAGATGGGGACTCCTCGTAGAAAGAAACAGATGCTGTCTCAATACCGTCACCTGCAAAAAATGGCATTGACGAAGTAGAGGAACGCTTGCAATCCATCCGCTTGTGATGTGTAAACGCATCGGCTTCTAAATGAACAAAAAATGTGCGATGTGATTTGTGCGTAATGTGAACACACAAGGGAATTCAAGAGCGTACACTCCTACAAGACACACAAACGGGGGTAAAAACACCAAAAAAAAAGAAAGAAAATAAAAAGAACAGTGAAGGCGAGAAGGGAGTGAGTGCGTGTGTGTGTGTGCAAGTGTCCGTGGCGCCTCTTCCATCTGCTCGTTATTTTCCTTTTCGGTTCATTCTTAAATCACACAGCCCCACCTCGTGCCTCATTGGCAACGGCAACAGTTATATGCGCCCAGAAAGTGGGAGAAAGGGATGATGCCAGCAAAAATAAAATAAAATGACAAATAATTCAAAATTGCGAATCCCTCATTCGCCTCTCAGTTCTAAATATTTTTTTTCCTCTTCTCGCGCTCCTTCCGGTTATCCCTGTCAGCGGCAGTCACTGAGAGGGGAAGGGGCGAGCAAAAGAAGAAACAAAAAAAAAATCAGCTTATATTTGTCGTCCATTCACGCCAAAAGAGTCCATCTACCTCCCTCGCTCATGTCAACAACTGACAGAAGAAACAATTGAAATAAAACAAAGGAAGGGTGGCCACACTCCACAGTAAAAATCTAGAACTTTTTTATCTCGTAATAATCTTAAGTATTGACACCTCTAAAAAAGGTTGGGGTTGCCACAGCAGCGACACACCGTGGCGTCACGCGTGTTCCGCCACGAGCACCGCTCGCACTCCAGTTTCTCATCTGCCTTAAGCACATTGTACTTTTGGATCCACACCTCTAACTGCTTCTTCAAGAGTTCATTCACGTAGAGAAGATCCTCAGTCAACTGCGTTGCACTATTCTTGCCATTCATCCTGTGCGCATGCTCACGCAGCAACAGCTTCTCACGGTCTTCCAGCAGCCTCCGCAGATCGATGTAATTGCGCTGATAACGCTGAAGCTCGACGTCACACTGCTGGATATGCTGCTTGACTTCCTCGTTCTTCGCAATTAACTCCCGCAAGTCGGCTTCCTGGCCCAAAAACGTCCGTTCATTCTCTAGAGAGGAAGCAACATCGTGACGGCGACGTGCAATGTCAGCGGCACGCTCCTGCCTACTTTGCTCTTCCTCCGCTCTCTGCAATTTGAATTGTTCTTCCATCCGCCGCACTTTCTGTTCCCCCTCCACTGCCTCTTGCTGAATAAGGCAAGATCGCTCCTCCAACGCCGCTTCTCGCCGCTCCAATTCCTCCTGCTTCGCCTCTACCCCGCGTATATACTGCCCGCCATCCCCCTCTAGTGAGAGGCGATACATGCGCATCTGTTGCTCCTCGTCCGCGACGCGCTTTTGCCACTGGACCTCATCTTCTTCAAGCTGTTCGGCAGCACAACGCATACGATTCCCTGCCTCATGAAGCTCGGCTTCCTTTAGTTTCAACAACTTCTGGGCACCTTCTTGATTGCCTTCACTTGCGTCGCGACATAAGCGCAGCTCATCATGCAACCGGTACATTTTAGCAATATACTCACGTTCGGTCCTTTCCCAATCTTTAATGCTATCAGCCCTTTTTGCCGCCGTCTGCTCCAAAAACATGCAGTGTACACGCTCTGCGTAGCCTCTAAGAGCCAACTCCCGCCTGTGCAGCTGCTCGCGGGTCGAGACGAGTTCCTCCCGGGTTCGGCAGTGCTCTGCCATTTTTTCACGGTCCATCGCCTCCCGTTCAAACAAGTACTCCTTTTTCTCATCTTCTTCCCAGTGAGGCTCCTGATCCCATGGGCGCTGCGGCTGCTCGAATGAAGCGGTACGTAGTGTCAGAGGACTTTCCTCCTCGACAACCCCTTCTGCATGCAGCCTTAACTCCGCCTGACGAATCTCAAACGCATCCATGCCCCGTGCATGATTCGACGCCTCATGCTGGCCACTCCTCTGGCATGGCGGAAGCGTGGCGTCTTCAATTAGTTTTATCAAATCATGCTCACTTATACGGGATGAGTCGAGAAACTCGCGGAACCGTTTTTCCATGGCAAAACACAACTCTTGTACACAGTTGAACCAATTTGCGTTTATTTGGCAATTTCTCTGCTGCAGACTTTCTACCCTCAGCTCGTCTTTAAACGACCTCATTTCCTTCTCTTCCAGCTGCATCTGCGTTTTGATAATACACAGTTCGCTGTCTTCTTGCGTCTCCAGGGCATTCCGCTCGCGTCCCTCTGCGCATTCCAAGCCCCACAGTTTACGGCGCAGCAGTGCCTCTTCGCTCAGCTGCAGGCGTGTTGCGAGGTTTTCTGTGCCAGTGTCTATCGATAAAAAGCGGGCCTTCAGCTCATTTTCAGGCGTTTTTGCCGCCTCATTTATCGCTTCTGTCTCTGAATTAAAGTCTGCAATGGTATGTGCACTCGTGAGAGGGTTCAAGCCCCTTGCCTCCTTTTCCCATTGCTGTTGTCGCCTGTCAAACTCGCGCTCCCGCGCGTCAAGATCCTCCTCTTTGATTCGTAGCACCGCTTCTCTTTCGGCAAGGACCTTCTCCAGCTGTGCGCAGCGCCGATTCAAGTTGTAAAACTTGTTGTTGTCATCGTCACTCTCTTCCTCTTCTACTTCTTCCATGCGCCGTTTACTTTCACTCGAATAAAGACAATCCGAAGCACGTTGCAGTTCAAACTGCAGGCGAAGAGTGGCGTGATGCTCACGAGATGCAGGCTGTTCCATCTCTTTAGTCTTCTCAGCAAATTTTTCTTTGCGTTCAATTTGATTCCCCTGCTTAGCAGTACGTGCCTTCAACTCTTGTTCCAACTCCGCTAGTTCCGCTTCTCGCTGTAGGACGCGCATCTCCTTCTTGCGAAGGGTGTTCATTTCCTCCTCCCACTGCTTCTGGACATCCGTGCCCCGCAGTTTCAGATCATGATCCGCCTTCTCAATTTCATCTCTCAGTTCGCGCTCTTTTTCTTGCGCCTCACGCTTGGCCTCCAAAATTCGGCGTGCCATGTCGAACTCTGTAGCGTCAATCTTTGCTTGGAGCTGCTCTATCATGGATCTTGCCTCCAACAGCCTGTCGTTCAACTCCCTCTCACGGGAAGCCGGTTGTTCCGGCAGCTCCTCACCCCGCTCAGTGATGTTGCATCCTTTATTCTTCAACTCATTCTTCATGTTTTCTACTGTGTCAAGGAGCTCGTCCACGCGTCTTCCTAAAGTGCTCTCAAGCTGTTGCACGCGTCCCTCCGCATCCCGCTGCCTCTGAAGCATATCCTTGCTTTGGCGGTTGAGGCGCTTCTCCAGTAACTCGCGCTGAGACTCATTTTCTTGTCGGCATTCCTCGGCCTTGCAAAGTGCGTGATGAAGTTCCCGCTCCTTCTCTTTTTGTTCCAGTTTGGCACGCTTTACCTCGGCACTCAATTGCTGCAACTTGCTGCTATATTCTTCACGTTCCTCCTCCTCTTTGCGGAAGTGCGCCGCCAGTTCCTCTTTTTGCTTCTCAAAAAAAGCCTTGCGGCGTCGTGACGACTCCTGCTCTTGTCGCAAGCGTTGTTTGGCCTGCGCCAATTGTAGAATAAGATACCGGTGTTGTGCGCCCCCCTGCCCTGCCTCCAAAAGTTGGCAACGCAATTTTAACAATTCTTCATTCGCCTTACAAAGTATCGTGGCTGACGGGTTTTCATCCACGTGTGGTTTGTTCATTACACAGCGTGCCTTGGAAGCATATTGCAGCGTCTGGAGAGTTTCCGAGCGGTGTGTCTGCGATGGGGCTACGGTGCATATCATCGTCGTCTTGCTGTTGCCTCCAAAAGCCTCCTTCAGTATCTTGGTCAGCGTACTCTCACGGTACGGCGGCTTAATGTTGCGCCGCCTGGGGTCAGAGAGAGACTCAATCACCAAACCGAGGGTAAACAGAGACAAATTGATATCCACACCTTCCTTGAATCGTTGGCCAGAGACGCCGGACTCGCCAATGCGTTCGCTTCCAGCCAAATCAACGAGACGTATGGCCAAACTCCTTCTTGGCGCACTTGCCACTTCACCTTCTGAGTCAGCAATAGATATAATCTCCGTAAGCTCCACAATGAAGATTGCATGACTTCGACTGCTGCGCTCATTCATGGATGTGGAAGCCTTTTTCCTACATCCATTCCCAATCTTCAACGCCCGTAAAATATCTTCTGTGTTTGAAACCGGCACACGGCGCACTCCGGTAAGCGCAAAAAATGTTTCATTCCCAACTACCTCCTCTCGAAAGGGAAACGGGCGTGTTGCGGTTCAAAAGATCACTGATCTTCTCACAATATACTTCCACAAAGGAGACTTGTACTTCCCAGCTGAAGCTCTCTCCTGATGCGGATTTGACCGAGCGTCTTTGAATCTCCTGAAACATATCCCGACAGAGTCGAGGAATAATGCCTTCTTCGCTTTTATTGAGAACATCCTCGTTGTCATCCATGACGTTTGAGCCAACCTCACCCATCATAGTGTATGTTTTTCCGCTCCCTGTCTGACCATACGCAATCAACGTACTGTTAAAGCCAGCAATTGCGTGAGCAAGCAGAGGCCTTCCCACCCGCTTGTACAAGGCGGATTGTGTCACTGGGGCAGAGTCATCCAGTGCCCTTCCAACGCAAGACCAGATCGGCATGTCGACAGAAAACATCCGCTGTCCATCTAGCCTGTCATTGAGAAAGACCATACTACGGGATGGATCCATTGTAACAGCCAGCTCCTGGGAGGCCTCGCTGCAATTTGGTGGCCGCACACGCACTGCCACTTGTACTGCCTCCGCGCCAGTTGTTGACTGACCGGTAGCCGGCCCAGAGCTCGGAAATCGCTTCTCGCCTTGTCTTGAGAGGGAACGAAAGGAAGTTGAGACTGTGTCTGACTCGAGCCTTCTGGCAATCAGCATATCTCGTCCCATCGACATCTCGATTACCGCGCGTATTTATTTTGTTCTTGTTGTTATCCTCTGCTAGGAAAAGAGGTTTTTGGCTCAAACAGCTGAAGGCGTTTGCCCCGC